AGACTTATAAACATGTAAGATAGATTCTGTAGAGAAAAATTGTCTAACAAGATAAAATGAACACATTTTCTTAGCAGCAGGCCTAGTAAGTGATTCAATATAATCTTTCTACTTCATGTCAGCCGAGAATGTTAGCCCGAGAATTCGCAACAAGTCACTTCTCTGGAGCTTAGCATCAGCCATGTTGATGGGAGACAGAAAAGATTCTCTCAGATGATTAATAGAGAGTAGTTTTAAAATTAACAAGTCATTTTCTGTCGCAGTTAATAACAGACTGTAGGTTATTTTGAGACCAGTCGCCAATTTTTACGCTGTGTAATGTGCATTAAATGTTAGGTGATTACGGCCACATCACGTAGAAACACTAGTTCTCGTACTATCACTGAAGTTAAGCAACGTCGAGCTTGATCAATGTCTAGATGGTTGACTCCTTGAGGAATACCAGGTGTTGTAAGCTTGGATGTACGTGTAATGCAATGGATACTGGGTCGGAATTGTTAACCAGAGAGCCGAGTTCCAATTCCAGTTGGCCTGGTTGTATTCACTTAAGCGCAAATATGCTTGGGAACCGCTTCTCCCCACAACCTATGGGTTAATTAATAAACTTGTATCACTAAATTATTATTATCTATAAAAGATTATTACAATCTAAAATATTTATCTGGCTTTAAATCCCTTCAAAGGGTTGATAATTCTTAGAAACGGTTCAGTGAATAAAAAATGTTATTACTCTCTCTAAAATGTTTGGAAATTTCAGTGAAATAAGATGATATGGTGGTTACAGCTATCAGCTGAGGATAGTATTGCTTGTTAAATTTTACTCTAATAGTTCAACCAAGTTGAACCGTCTGGTCGTGTTTATCGAGCAACAAAAGAATTCACAAACATTTAACCACTGCTTTAGTGTAGAGACGTTAAATTAATTTGATGCTCAATGTTAGTTATGGCAAAACACATATTTTGAGCCGTCGGAAAATGATTTCATAGAACCATGATCGTCAACTTCCTGAAAGGACACGGCTCATTGAAGAAGAAGTAATGAAGAAGAATAACATTAGATGTGTGACGTTCATTTATTCGATATGTTAATGTTAGTTTGTGTATTTTCTCTCCAGAATTGTAGCCTACTGATTTGAAAGAGATTATCGTAGAATTGTTTCGTTTTGGCTAACTTAATTCATTGATAAAAAAGAACCAAACATGCTGTGGAATATGATGAGATGCTCGCACAATATTGGGTAGTCTGGCACAAGGCCGTAATTACTGACTGCATAGTTATGATTCAATTTACTATTAAGTGTCTTCGAGAGTAATTGCAAATCATGACACTATCGCAATTGTTTTAGAGATTAGTTTATGTAGGTAAATTATCTACTGAAGACTAAACCTAAAGACAATAATTTACAAATCTATTGTAGTAACATTTGGTCTATAAATTAATTAAATGCATGTTAACTGCTTAAAGAGATTTTTTTTTTCGAAGGCTGAATAAACACTTTATATATATATATATATATATATATATATATATATATATATATATATATATATATATATATATCAGTCGGGTTTCGATCCAGATTTCAAGCAGTCGGATGTCTAGCCACACTGATGAGATGTGAAAATATATACATGGTCCTGAAAAAAATTATTTCGGTTGAGCTCTCGGCGAAAATTGAATTTATAAAGAGTCACTATTACTGCTGCTGATGCAAGACTATTCGTTAAACGAAACGAGTTCTCTAGTCACTGTGGTGTTTATCTAAAAATAAATACGTCTAAATTCAATCACTTAGGAGTAGAGACTCCGATTGATACGAAATCAGTCGGGTTTCGATGCTTCCAACCAAATACTATTGTTATACATGTATAACAATGGTATTTGGTTGGAAGCAATTACACTGAAGATGGTAATAAAAAGTGGTCAATACAAAGCAGAGTTTACAAAATTGAGCATATATATATATATATATATATATATATATATATATATATATATATGATTGTGTATTTTAGCAGCAATCCCTCGTTCATACAAATTTCATTAAAGATGATTGACAAGGTACTGCGGTTAAGCTTTTTATTTTTTTCTTGCGTTTTTATAAGTTTCTTTTTTCTGGACATAAAATTTATAAAAATTCCCAAATATTTTGTATGCCGGGCGCTTTCAACTATTCTTTTAGGCATTACCAAGGATGGTTTTGAATTTTAATATATATATATATATTAGGTTGTCCCAAAAGTTCGTAAACACTTGCAAAAAATTTATTCCATCATTTTCCAAGACTTTCTGCCATAGATCTGCAAGCTTTCGGATCTGGTGAAAGTACCATTCAGCCGGCTTCGAATCAAAAAATTCTTGACACGCTTCCTCGACTTCATCAAACGAGTCGAATCGGCGGCCCTTTAGAAAGTGTTGCATTGAGCGGAAAAGGCCGTAATCTGATGGAGAACAGTCAGGACTGTAGGCTGGATGTGGCAGAACCTCAACGCCGTCCAGCTCTTTAAACTTGTCTTTGGTCTTCCTGGCGGTGTGTGGCTTGGCATTGTCCTGCTGCATCAAAGCGCGATTTCGGTTGATCAGAGCCGGGTACTCTTGCTTCAACTTTTCGTAGACCCGCTCCAGTTGCTGACAGTAAAGTTCGCCACTGATGGCACGACCATTCGGAACCAACTCAAAATGCACGATTCCTTCAAAGTTCCACCAAACGCACAACATGACTTTCTTGCCGAATCGATCTTGTTTTGGAACCGACGGTGTCTCTTGCCCTTTCTGAACTCATCGCTTGTCTCGATTGTGCTGGACCAAATAGACCCATTTCTTGTCCGATGTCACAATGCGCTTCCAAAAACGCTCGTCCAATGGATTGCTGAGCAATTGACGGCAAATTTCAACTCGTCTGTTGGCTTGTGCTTCGGTAAGTTCGTGCGGATCTTGATTTTTCGCAAGTGTTTACGAACTTTTAGGACAACCTAATATATATATATATATATATATATATATATATATATATATATATATATATACATTTGGGCAGAAATCAATCTTTTATACAACTTTCATTGAAGACGACTGACAAGACACTGCAATTAAGCCTTTTTATTATATATTTTTTGCTTTCGTACAAGTGACTTCTTTTCTTGACATATACTGTGTAAACACTGTTCAAAGAATCAAATCTATTAGTCATTATTAAAATGTGTTTTTCTTTAACTAAATATACAGATATTTTATATAGCAATTGGAATGTTTTTATTTCAGAATACAGTCAGTACGTTTGGCTGTGTACATAGCAGATATTATTGAGACTTGGTTTCTTCATATTTTTATTGTTAAAGCCTTCAATATTTTCAAAAGTCTTCTGCGTGTAGATGATTTATTATGTATTTATAAGTTGCGGAATGAGGCCGGTAGACTTCTGCTTCTATTTAAATGGGACATAATGGAGTTATGATCCGACAAATGCAAAGTAAATCTTCTTGAAATGCAATAATTTATATTGCTATAAATATTTTTAACATATTCAATTAAAGAAAAAACACCCTTAAAAAATAATTTTAATTTTTTTTTATTTATATAAAATATTACGTAACGTTCCCCAGTTTGGATGTATGGTCGACCATACACATTATCAGAAAAAATAAAATCGATGACTATATTAAATTTAAAGTCAGCATTCCTTAAATTAGTTTACGGGGAATATTTTCCAACATTTTTAAGAATACTGATTACTTAAAAATTATATAAAAAGGCACTCACCCGTCATTTTCTAAAATTATGTTTTAACAGATAAAGTCTGTGTAGAACAACAAACAAATCTATCAACATCTTCCAGAAATTGTTAAGTGATTGACGGGCGATGAAAAGCGCGTAAATTACCGCTCCAGTTTATTTTAAAACTCCATTTCTCTGTTATTTTCAACTTAAAGTAAATAATATTTGTTTCACATCAGATTAGTTATACTTTAAATCAGCTAATATTCCTCAAAAAAAGTTTCAGAAATGTATATATTTTTGAGTGAAAATTTTTAAAACCAAGAATTACCATGGGTCAAAATGTGTCAAAAATTGCTGATTTTAAATGATTTTCTGAAGGCTACCAAAAATTCGAGATTCCAATCAATATAATTTCTAGGTGAAATAAGCTACTGTGGTTTACTTACTGGAAATAATAAATTTAATGATTTACCTTTCAATTAAAGCTAAATACATAACTTCAAGAATGCGTTTTCATTAAAAAAAAAAACATTCTAAACCTAATGTATCGAAAATTAGTTGTGGTACCTATATTATGTATTTCTCTGTGTTTGGATCTATCAAAAGAAACTTTAAAAGGGGAAACTACAGCAAAAAATGTACACCAATCTTTTTTCTTTGTGCCATTCTAGATTAACAACGTGTGTAAACGAGTTCCCAGGTCTGACAAAATGCCTATGAATGAGAGTAAAATAAAATAAAAGACCAGTTCTCAAAATCTGGAGTAAAGATCTTTAAAAAAAAAATAATTACAAATCTTTTCTGAGGTGGAGACAAGGTCATGAGAGAAGATCATCAAATGTAGATCGAACAATGCTTTCAAGAAAATATTTCTTACAATTCTTTTATGGTATCCCAGAAGAAATGTGAATGAACAAATATCACGAAAGACAAGAAAATAGATAAATATAGTGGGTGTCACAAAAAACTGTATTCAATTTTTGACTTCATACACCATTTTTTTTTCAGATTCTTTTTTGTTTTTTTTTGTTATTTCGGACCGATGCATTTAATTTTATTTGATATTTAATTTAAAACGTTCATCTCTGCAAGTTCATAAATACTGAATTTGTTGTTATTTAAAAAGCGAGATCAATTTTTTAGTATGAAACTCGTGACGGAAATAATTGAGGATTTTCAACTAGAGGTCGGAGTTTGTGTTAAAATAAAATTCAAGGCGAGCATGGACTCCACACAAATAAGATTAGCGCAACGCAATCTTCACATACTTTTAACCATTTGTCTAGCGAATATTGTCAAGTAAATAAACAAAAAATGAGAAAGAAAAAAGAAAGAAAGAATGAAAAAGGAAAGAATAAGAAATTAAGAGAAAGAATGAAATGGAGAGATAGAACGAGAAAGAAAGTATTAATGTGAAAGAAAATGAGATATAAAGAAAAGGACAGAGAAATAGATAAGGAATGAGAAATAAGAAATTAAAACGAAGAGAAATAATTAATGATAGAAAAAGAAAGGAAAAGAGCCATGAAAGGAAGTACATAGAGAGAGAAAGAATGGGTGAAAGATAGAAATAAAGAGGGAAAAACGAAAAACTCAACGGGAAAAAATAGAGACATAATGAAAAATAAAGAAAGAGAAAGAATTAATTGAAAAAAGTGAACCAAAATAAAAAAAAACGAAGGAAAGAATGAGATGTTTGAGAGAAAAAGAAAAAAGAAAAGATGTTTAAAAAGTGAAGACAAAACGTAAGAAAAAATACAAATGAAAGAAAAATAGAAAAATAATTAAAAGTATCAGGTAAGAGGAAGAATGAAAAGGAATGAGTGAAAAAAGTATGAGAGAAAAAGGTTAGGGAGATATGAAGACAAGATAAAAGAAGGAATGAGAAAGATAAAAGAAAGACGCGAAATAAAAATGGAAAATGAAAAATAAGGAATTAATGCAAGAGAAAGAAAAACAGACCTAATGAGAGAGAGGAAGAGTAAAAATGAAAATGAAATAAAAACGAAGAAATATGAAAGAAACAATGAATACGAAGGAGATAGAAAGGAGAATACAATATTGAAAGGAAAGAATTAAAGAACAAATGAAAAAACAAAAAATGGAAGAAAAAGTGTAAACAGAGGGAAAGAGAAAAATGAAAAACTTAAAAGAAACGAAAAGAAAGAGAGAGATGAAAGAAAGCGGTTAGGAGTGACACGAAAGAAATAAATAAACCAAAGATGGTATTTAAAAGAGTGATACGAAAACAAAATAAAGAAAAATGAAACGAAAAGACACGGTAGAAAGAAAAGTAAAAGTAATATTGGAAAAGTTAAAGGGGCGAGACGAAAGAAAGAATGTGTCAATCAAAAGAAAATGTGAAAAGAGACGAAAGAAAGATAAAAGAAGTTAAAATGGAGAGATGAAAGAAAGATAAAAGAAGAAAGTTAAAATGGAGAGACGAAAGAAAGATAAAAGAAGGAAGTTTAAAATGGGGAGACGAAATAAAGATAAAAGAAGTTAAAATGGAGAGACGAAAGAAAGATAACATAAAACAAAGAAAAAATGATGAAGGAAAACATTAAAAACGTTAAAAATTGAAAGGAAATAAAAAAGAAACATTCAGAAATAAAAGAAAGAATAAAAAAGTAAGAAAAAATAGGCAAGAAAAAAAAGAAGGAAGAAGTTCAAATAATGAGACAAAAGAAATTAAAGAGAAAAAAATTAAGAAAATTTGAAAAAATGTTAAAAGAAATAAAATAAAGAAAGAAAAAAAGGATCTCGGATGTTAGAAGAAAAATACAAGAGGAGAAAGAAAAAGTTAAGGTGAGGTGAATGAAAAATGAAAAATAAAATAAATAAAAAAGTTAAAAGATTGAGACGAAAGAAAAAAGAATGTGAGGAAAAGAAATGAAGCGTGATACATAAAAAGAAAGAAAGTAAAATAAAAATAAATGAAAGAAAAAATAAAACTGTAGACAAACTAAGGAAAAAACGTCAACCATAAAAGAGAGTAAAAGAAAAGAAGAAACATGACAAAGGAATTGATAGTGGTGCTTGAATTGTGACGCGTAAAGTGAATTACCGATCTGACATTCCTGAGAAAGAGTGGCGGAAGCAAGATGGCCGACGCAAAGTACTGCGCAAAGGTCATGTGTTTCTATGGGCGATTTTCTGGTTGTCATTCTTGGAAATGCGCTGTTTCAGGAAAAAAAAGAATGATAAGGTCGTAATCGCCGTTGATGACGACTGGAGGAATTTTCACCCTTTGAAATGGCAATGCGATGGGTTTGTAAGGAGCAGGACCTCTCTGCTCAGGACGAGAACGCTACCGGATGGAGGCGTCGAAAGAAAGGCCGCCATTTTAGAAGCATACGGCACAATGACACGGCTTTTTGTGGGTGGCTCTGCATGAGATTTTGGACTCTCAAGGTTCAAAACATTTTTTTAGAGAATCTTGCTGAATACAAGAAAGAAAGGCATTTAATCGAAGCTCTTTGTACGATGCGGTTATGGGATTCACAAAGAGAGATACCTGTAAACAAGCTGTCTTATTTACCTGATAAACATTCTTCAGTGAGTGCTCCTTTGCCATGTTTATATTTACATCAGCAATTGTTTCATGGAGATTCGTAATATCATTCTTACTCAGTTTTATAGTACTTATTACACAGAGAAAATATTCGGTAACCTTCAAATATACTGGCACAAGATTACAATAATAGTGCCATGATTATGGATCAAAGTTAGCTATTATCTGCAAACAGAAAAATCGCATTATTCCTGACAGAAATTTCCTGGTATATGAGAGTCATAATGAGGATTCTGGTCCAATATTTTCTTTGCAAAAGTAAATTGCTGGACTAATAAATCATGAAAAGAATTCCTATTACTAAGACCAATTGTAAGAACGGCACTTTCTGATGTTAACTATAAGTTTCCTTTTTGTTTCATTTAATTTGTATCGCTTTGCCATAAGAGACGTATACACACTAACTCATATCAGGACAAAACTGATAGAAATCGGGGCTTTTGTATGACATCAAAATATGGTAACGTTAACACATTGCTATCTCATGACTTTTGACGGGTCAGTGTATAGCTTCTTCTTTTTAATTCTCCTTTCAACAATTATGCCTGCATTTACTTTCATTTCTCTTTGTGAAGTTTTATTATTTTTAATGCATTTCCCTCTTATTGTACGTGGGGATGCTGAAAAGTTCTTGGCCTAACTAAAAAGCGATTTCAAAAAATATTTCTGTTGTTTGATCACATTATGAGAAATAGTTCGTTTCGAAAAACCTACAACACTATATTGTTTGTTTAACGGCACTTCTCTTTATGGGTCGTTAATTACGAAATGGAGACACGGTGGAGTAATGGATAGCGATTCGGATTGAGCCGCTATCTTTTAGTCCACCGAGCTCGAAGATCCGAGTTCGAATTCCAGTCAGATTCATTACATTCACTTAAGTATGAATCCACCTCTTCTCCCCCCAAGTATGGGTAAATAGCAGAACAGACAGGGTTCTATAGCCTTGGATGGCAACTGGCCTACCGCAGAAAGAAATGGTAACCTACTGCAGGAAAAAAAAATTGTCCACGTCAGTCATGTATCGAAAGATACATAATGACCTAAGCGTGTATCACGCATGACACACAGATATTCACAGATATTCACAGATATAATATCTGACCTGTTTCGCCGATGAATGGATGTCACCATAAAAACGAATTTCATTTCCCAAATTTTTTCTTGTTGAAATAAAAACCATTTACTGGTGACACCAATTCCTCTCAAAATAGAAATTTTACAAATTGTTTGATACAATTATCATATATTTTACTATGATTTACACATTTACTTGTGTGTGTATGTGTTTGTCTGGATGAAATATATTTATTTTCATCCACACACACACACACACACACACACACACACACACACACACATATATATATATATATATATATATATATATATGTGTGTGTGTGTGTGTGTGTGTCTGTGAATCGGACAACTGAGTTAGAATTCCAGTCGAATCCATTACATTCACTTACGCACTAATACCCTTAAGAAAGTTATGAATCCTCTTCTTCTCCCCCACCCAGCTATGGGTAGATAGCAGATACATGATCGCCTAAGCGTGTATCACACATGGCACATAATTGACTGAATGCCGAATTGTAATTGTCTTGAGTGTTTTGAAATAATAAAAATATGATGTAATTCTGATTTCACAATTGATTACATGGTAGATGATACTCAGATTTTCTGTATATACATGTTAGTGTAGATTAGAGGCAGTGTTTTGTGTTTTTTGCTTTTTTGTTGAAGTTAAATTTGGGAATACAATTTGATTTAAGAAATTTTAAGATATTATGTGGATTAATATTATAAAAGAGTTATTTCATATTTGTTGTATGGTTGGTTGATTTCATTTTGCATCAGGTTATTTAGTGCGGAAATATAACTATTTTGAACAATTTTATGGCTTCAGCTAAATACATTACCTTTTGAACGCGATTCTATACCTTCAACTACAGATAAAATGTATTGTTGGTCATTTTACTATAAATAGGTATTGTTGATTAATCTTCGAAAAATGCATTGCTGGTATTTTTACTATAAATAAGTATTTTTATATTTTCATAGTGTTTTGACCCCAATTTGGGTGATAATTATTTTCCTATTCCTAACAGGTGTTGGAACCAACAACAATTAAAAGGTAGTTTCGTACTCATCAAAACCTCTAATCTCCTGATCAGAGGCCTTGCTGCCGGATGTAGTTTCGTGTAGCACCATAGCTGGGACTATTCAGTACTATATCTTGAAGACTCTTGCAGCGTATCAAGAGACTGTGATTTGTTTTCTCAATATTGTTACCGAATTTTAATACTACTGTTAGTTAAGTCTCACTAGTTTAGACCTTCACAACTAAAATCCACCATGCCATGCTTACGGTGTCAAATGATCCCCATTTGTTTCGTATTCAATTAGTCAGGAGGAAGTTTCACTTAAATAGTTTCTTCCTCACAATTGTTACTTTGTGCTACAGATTCTTAAGAAGATGCTTCTCCGACCTCTACAATATTAAACTCTTCAGGTCAAGGGTCAAGTCATACCTATTTTATATATATAAGATGCACTTCTTCATGTACTTACAAAAATCTCACTCACTTCTACCTTGAGTGTTTCTTGGTATTTGTTTTAGTTGAACTGAAGTTAAAGGTTTAATTAATATCAATTCAAGTATCAATTAAGTAATTCTTTCTCTGATTTCCAATTATTTCGTTCTCTTAGATACAATCATTAACTTCATATTTTATCTATATATTTTTAAATTTCCATGGAATAGTATCGTGGATATATGTTTTTTAATCAATTCACCCCAACAAGGTGATAATGCCACTAAGACCCAATAGAGAGTGAAAGAGAATGAGAATACTTTAGAAAGAACCGCAAGCCTAATCCTGAACAGGAAACAAGGGATAAACCTCTACTCCTATTCAAAAGACCGGGGAGGTGTGTGAACCTGAGGATTTTATTATAGCCGTTTTATGCAAAAAATAATTAGCAGATTCCAGTTAAAAATTTCATAATGAAATTCCTTTTGGAATTTCTTTCTGTTGTCTTCACATTTCTTTCCGGGTCTCAACAAGGACATTGATCCTTTTTTACACCCCCGCCACCCCCCTAAGATCACACATATACATAGATGAAGCTCTTTATAATGTCTGAGATGTACCTGTGTAAGTAGAATTTTGTGTTATTCTTTAAGGTCTGGTCTACCAGAAATCTCTTCAATGAGTCTATCGGACACTTTCCCAGTCAATCTGTATTTCCTTTGATTTCTGTTGTATACACATTTCTTTCCGAGTCCCAACCAGAGAGCATTTCACACTGATCATTTTTGTAAAAAAAAAAGAAAGAAAAAAGAAAGAAAAAAACCCCAAGATAATTCACATTTTATATAAAGCTCTTAGTAATGCGTGAATTGTACTCATAGCCAAATTAAATAATTCTAGTGGTAGGGAGACAAGTCATAATTCAACACCAAAGTTCAGTCAGTTATGTGCCATGTGTGATACACGCTTAGGCGATCATGTATCTTTCGATACATGACTGACGAGGTAAAGTTGGCGAATTTGAACTCAAATGCGTTAGAGTAAATTTCCTCACATAACTTATAATTGTGCATTGAAAGTAAGAAAGAAAGGGATTGTCAGAGGTCAGTAATAAATGCAAACGTTGCTGAAATGATAGAGGTATTATATGTGTAATGTAAACGCATTGCTAATGATTTTCTATAGAAATCGAAAAAAAATAGGAAGAAAGCGAATGCAAATGATTTGGAATTAATGTAATAATTACTGATAGAATAAGGTTATTATATTTACAGTGAAAATGCTTTGGAAATGATTTGATAATATGAATACACAGAAATTTTGGAAAAATGTGGTTAGGAATTAATATAAGCATTACTGATAAGTAAAAAGCTATTATATATATAATGTAAATGACTGGAACGTGGTTTTCTGTAGAAATACATTGAAAATCAGGAAGAACGGTATTATCCAGGAATTTGTACAAGGTTTGGAATGCATTTCTCATATTTTTAATATAAAGACATTTTTAATGATTTATTATAGGAACTCACTGAAAATAATCTTTATACGGTAGAAGTTTGAATGAGAGAAAAATGTATTATATGCATAAAATAGTACACCTATCTGCTATTTATTTGCCTGAGACTGTTCATATTAAATCTATTTATAACTATATCTAACTTTTTATCTATATATGAATATCTATCTATCGTTATCGTAATCTCTCTCGCTCTATCTACCTCTTTCTGTTTCTATCTCGCTAGATATACATGTATCTACACGTTCATATCTATCTATCTATCTATCTATCTATCTATCTATCTATCTATCTATCTATCTATCTATCTATCTCAGTCTATTCACATCAATCTTCCTTGCCTTCTATCTATCTATCTATCTATCTATCTATCTATCTATCTATCTATCTATCTATCTATCTATTCATCTCAATCTATTCACATCAATCTTCCTATGCCTTCTATCTATCTATCTATCTATCTCAGTCTATTCACATCAATCATCCTTGCCTTCTATCTATCTATCTATCTATCTATCTATCTATCTATCTATCTATCTATCTATCTCAGTTATTCGCCTCGTTCCATAAGGAAAATTATGAAATATTATGCCATATTGGTTGCACCCCCAAAAAAAAAAAAAGAAAAGAAAAAAAAGTAAACCAAAGATTATGTGGCGGAGATAATTTTCTGTATCTCACGCAGAACCAAACGTCGGTCTTCAATCCCAAATAAACCGAGAAAAACTTCGAATAATCATTCTCAATGCATTTAAAGATTAGCTAAATAAAATATTACTCTTTTCCTTTTTGCTTGATCTTGTGCTATACTCGTGCCAATAAATATCAAGTAAAGTCTATGGGTAAAGTATGTTCATATCTATCTATCTATCTATCTATCTATCTATCTATCTATCTATCTATCTATCTATCTATCTATCTCAGTCTGTTCATATCTACAAGCCTGATCATATCCAATATTATGTAATCGTGTAACATGATATAATGCTAATAGCTCCCGTTCTGCTCCCAATATAGGTAATGCTGTTAACAACGAATGACATTAATCAAGAGAAACCAATGCTTGATCACGGCCATCAACGAATTCTATTAATTATTTCCATATGATAACATCGAATACGACCGGCGTCATTGGTATTTATGGCTAACATTCTTCGCAATCCGAATCTTAAGCGATAAATAGAGCCTTGTTTTATCGTCCAGCAGATTATTCCCAGGATTCCAAGAGACTCGGACAATATTCGTGACGAAGTTTAAATTCGCCATAAATAACTCTTTGTTATTGCTCGACCGAGACCACTCCGGATAGGTTTACTTGCTTGGCGATATTGATAGCATCCAATGAAATCTCCAGAGATGAGCTTATAGTGACAACAGATGACTTCGAAGATCGTTGAGTTAAAAAGTCCAAATGTCAAACGGTTTGTTTTTCCTACAATCAGGTTCAGTGCAAATACATAAATATACCCATATGTTTGACAGGTTAGATTTGTCGCTTATGACAAAAGGTAATGAATGGTGACACTTTCCCGATAGACCCAGTTGTGCTGGTTTTCGATTTGACCAGGGCAAGTTTACTTGCTACGAAATGTTGATCATAATTCACAGAGGTAAAGTCGCTACCACAGTACTAAAGTGTATCAACAATATCTATCATTGCCTTTTCGTAGTTTTATTTCAATCTATGTTCATATTAGCATCCGTCATATATCTGTATTTTTATCAATCTTTGTTCATATTCATATATGGAGTTAACTGTTAGTTAACATATGTATCTTCATAGTTTACAGCTCTTACATCCATAAAACCTATTCAGTAAAGTCTCTAACTTGAGTGACTCTTGAGCATTCTATTGGGTAAACAATAATGTAAAATATTAGTTAAATCATTTTATCTTTGATCGCTTTATCTCACACCTATAAAACCGGTAATTATTTCTTTCTTTCTCAGTCTTTTAATATCTATCTTTTTTTAGTCAGTTCATATTATCACGATTTTCCAAGCGCAGCTCAGATGTGGCACAAGGCCGAAAGTATGGGGCACCCAGTGAGGATCGAACTCACTACTCAGTCGTAATCGTTCTAGCGAGAGAAGCTTTCTAACCATTACACCACCTCGAGGTGCCCCAATCAGTTCATATTATCTATCTCAGTCTATTCATATCTATCTATCTATCTATCTATCTATCTATCTATCTATCTATTACACCACCCACACATCCGCAGATAGCAATGAGGTAAGCACAGAATTCTGTAAAATACAGGGATCAATTTGACACGATATGCATATTATGAATAGGCCCTTCAGCTTTCTAAATTATTTTTCAATTTTGACAAATTTCCCCAGTTTAGGAAGCTCTAAAGAATGCTACCTATTTCTTTTACGATTGGACCAACCTAGTTAAGTAGTACCGTCTTTTTGTTTCATTGTAACGAGTGGTATTAATATATGCAGTGCGTGCATACGACTGCCTATCCTTTCGTCTGTCTCATTTTAGCGCAATCCTTGTCGCCCGGTCCTTCTGTCCAATTAAGGAAGAAGCAAACGTTAAGTGACCAGATTTGCGAAATAAAGATCTGATCAAGATAAAAACACGCTGGAGATCTTTTCACTGATGGCTATTTTCCCTGGTCAACCGTGGAAGGGGTATCACGACAATCAGGCAGAAATGTCAGTGACATCAAACTTCCGCATATTTCTTCGCTGACGAAGTGCTCTTGGCTAAGATAACATGATCCCGTTTGAACTTTCGCAGAAGTGTTTTCCGGCAGTTTTTATTTGGGAAATAATCTTTTTTTTTCTTTTTTTTTTTTTTTCAAACGGGCATCACTCACACCTTAGATCCAGGAATCTCGTTAAAAATACAATAGTTTCTGATCCTTTTGGAAACTAACTTAATCATATCGTAGAATCATTTTGGGACCAAATCTTTTATAGCATGGAGACAATTCTGTGCTAATCACTCATCTTCCTACTTATTTTTTATTTACATGTTAGAAGCATCAAACTAGAGAGACATATTTTAGTTTCTTTCATTAGCACAGTAATATCGAGATGTGCGAAGTATTTTAACAGAAAAGGGAAAGTGCGATACTGAGATGCGAAGACGTATTTGGATGACAAATCTGCCTTCCAAAAGCTAAGCAGAGTACTAAGAAACAGAAAAATTTCGTTAGAAGCAGAGAAAAGTGTACTGAACTGTTACGTGATCTCTCTCTTTCTTTCTCTCTCTCTTTCTCACTCTATAATATATATATATATATGTTTGTATTTACATCTTTGATAATGGCTTGAGTAAGCCGAAAGCTTAGATTTTATTAAAAAATAATGGATAAATATTGTGAATTTCTTTTTTCGGTTAATGATAATGTTACCAAACTTATCAGAAGATACGAAAAAATTTTACATAAAATAAATAGACAACACTTGTCTATATTATTTAATGAAACGTGTATAAATATATATATATATATATATGGCAGGGAATGCTGGAAAATATCTTCAAAGATGAAGAAGACACTTGAAGCAACTACAGAAGTATGCGAAGGGTTCCATGGACTGAACATGTGAGCAATGACGAAGTTATAGACAAAATGAAAAGAAACAGGAAACTTATATTTAACATCAGGAAATGACAGCTGAAATTTCTACGACACATAATGAGGAAAATTCAAAGAATCTATAATGTTATTGGTCCTGACCTGGCATCTCGGCTTTAGTCACTTTCCAACTGCGGTAATGTAGACAAATTAATGTTAGAAAAATTTTAAACTCAGTGGGCAGATTGAAGGCAAGAGGAACAGAGGAAAAAACGCATAACCTACTTAATAGGCTTGAATTAAATGGATGGCGGGACAGGGTTTGAGAGAAATAATAAGAAGAGAAAATTTATTAAGAGCTACAAGTGACATGAAATTCTGTAGAAGCATGATCAACGACTTACCAAAGGGACACAGCAGATAAAAAAGAAGAATATTGATGTTATCTAGATTTTATTTAATTATTTCCCCCAAAACAAGACAACACCGCTGCAACTAAGACCCAAGGGGTGACTAAGTGTTAGAGACCATGAGAAAAAATTCCATTAAGGAGAGAGAAGAATAAAGGAAGAAGAATTAAAAAAAAAAGACACAAAATAACGATTGACCAAGCACGTAAAGTTTTGTTGATCAAAGTTGACTGAGAAACATGCAGCCAGAAGAGAGTTCCACAAGTGATAGAGAAGAAACTATTAGCATAGAACTTACGGTTACATCTAACCATTTAAGCGATACAATAACGAGACTTTGCTATCAATCTAATACGGCGCTTAAATTCATAAAATCTAGGTACCGTAGAGCAATGTTTATCACAACAATTACCAGGAAAGTATTTATAGAAAAGCAGAATGAAACTACATTGGAAAGTGACTGAAGCCGAGATGCCAGGTCAGGACCAATAACATTATAGATTCTTCTTTGAGTTTTACCAAGAATCTCTAAATATATAGCAGGAGCACCAGACCATATGTCAAGAATATTGTAAACTTGTACGATGGATTCTCACAAGAAAAGTTGTCTAGCACGACACAGTGAACCAACTTTCCTAACAGCGGACTTAGAAATTGATTCAATATAAACTTTCTATGTCAGCGGAAAACGTTAGTCCGAGAAGGAGCAATCTGTCACTCTCCTGGAGGTTAGCATCTGCCATACTGATGGAAGGGAAAATTTATTCTCTCAGACGATTAAAAGAAATCAGTTTTGTTTTGGAGGCGTTAAAATAAAATTAAAAAAAAACGAAAAAAAGCAACAATTTCTTATTCTAGTTATTAACAGAATGTAGATCATTTTAAAGTTCAGCTGTCAATTTGACTTTGTCGAGCCGATCAGACTTACTATATATATCAACACTTCCACCAATCGTAATGGAAAAGGTTAGGGTAGCCGTTTTCAGAGAGGAAACATTAGACATTAATTGACCGAACAGTTAGTGTTACTGTCGGTTGAAAATTATAAAATCTTTCTTTTAAAACAGGTTTTCAGGAAAATAAACTTCTCATGTGAACTATCATCGTTCTTTCTAGTACTTATGGGAGTTTCCTTTTCTTTTAGATAGTGTGGAAAGTCAATATTTTGATTATGTCATTATTTTCAAGTTCAGTTGTTACAGGTGCTATTCATTTCATTTGTTGCCGCAACTGGAAGTTTTCAAGTATACATTACTTGTTAGAAGCATCAAACTAGAGAGACATATTTTAGTTTCTTTCATTAGCACAGTAATATCGAGATGTGCCTGAAGCTTTTCTTTTTTGTTTGAATTTCTTGGATGAGGAGTTATCATTATTTGCACTATTTATATTTGGATTATTGTCTTCATCTTTGTTGTTTTTATCACAAAGTTTCGGTCCTCGTGACCCCCCCCGGCCTTCCCCAGGTGTACATTGATCTGGATAACCTACAGGGATTTCTGAACTGAACACTTTAATCGACGGAGGTAGACTGTTCTCGTTTCACTGCCCATGTCTACGGACATCGTCTGGTTATTATTTTTATTTAATACTGTTCACTTATTGCTCGCCTGTTTCTACGAAGTGAAAGTACACATTGGCCGATCAAGGGATTGAACTCACATACACTATGTCACCCAAATTCCCAATCAAACGCTTTTATTCACTAGGAGATTTTTCCTCACGTGTATATCGATCTGGGTAACACACAGGGAATTCTGTGGAAATAGGGCGAGTAATAACTGAGCAGTACTAAATAAGAATAATACCAAAATACACTACGGCTTTTCCCTACAAGTAAAGACACAATTTTTGAAGACATTATTATAACAACGAAACACACCAACACAAATAAAATAACTTACTACAGTAGACGATAACTTAATGTATATATTATTGTAAGGTTGGTAATGAATGATAATACTTAGGACAAGAACAACACATATAAGATTCTCCAGTAGTCAACTGCTAGAAGTGAGTCAAGTGAATTCCACAATGAATCTCCAACTGCAGGATATCTACCAACCGCCCCCACGCTGTCAGATATGGCACAAGGTCGAATTTAATGTGGGGTTAAAGATTTCCTGTAGACCTCGTATAAAACGGGGTCGGGTAGCTTTTTCCCGAGACGAGACTCTGCTCTTCGGCAGAGCCTCGTCTGGGGTCTTCTCTTCCCGGAGGCAGGGAGTTTGAGTAGCACAGCTGGTGCCGAATCTCCCACTGCAAACCAACATACAGTATTTACTACTGTATTTATGTAAATGAGGGCATACCCATTATCGTCCGTAGATATGCTACAACATATATGAAATATTTTATATGCGTGCACAATAATAAGTTTGTATAAATGTTTGATATTTGCTTTTCTCGAACGGTTTGATTTCTTTTAACCATTACATTAGACTAATTTGAATTTCAGCATTCTAAATTGATATAATGTAGCTAACAAAAATATTCTCTATCACGTTGACAACACCCAATTCTTCATAATTAGTGAGACATTGACAAAACATGAACATTGATAGTTTATACACAATCTTGATCCCGATATGCAAAATATTATTCGAAAACTGGAAAAATGTCATAAACAATTAAACATACAGACATTGAACTTGTTTCTATAGCGTGCGATAGCGTTGAAAAGTGTCCCCAAAATTATACAACGGCTTGACTCAAGGAATTTGGTGGATGAAACCTTTTGGAAGCTGTCGATGGTCGTGCTAGCACAAAGTTAAAAAAAAGTCGTCGTGACCGAGAGTTTGCTTTTGTTTAAACAGATTTACGCGGTCTCTCCTAAAGACTGTAACTAACGTCCACTCAGCATAGTTGCAATATTAACCACAGGTGGGTGGTGTGGGTCTTGAATAAATACAGATTGATCTGTGCCTTCATCTGCGATAGGAGTTGGCTAACCGCCATACCAGAAGTGTGCGTTCGGAAAACCGGAAGCCGGCCATTAAATCTCTCTCTCTCCCTCTCTTTCTCTCTCTCTCTCTCTCTCTCTCTCTATATATATATATATATATATATATATATATGTATATGTGTGTGTGTGTGTGTGTGTGTGCGTGTTTCATTGATAATAACTGATAACGTACTGCTAATTGGGATTAAGTTTTTTTTTCTTATACTTTTCTTGCATCCGTACAAGTCATTTCTTTCTTGGTGTAAGAATTGTACAAATGATCGAACGGTTTTGGCTAATCTGTTAGACATTATTAAGGATGTTTTTATTTGTTTGTTCGAATATGGAAATTATTTTTATAGCAATAGGAATGTTTTAATTTCCGAACACACAGCATGTTTTAAATATTCAGTAAAAATAACGTTAATGATGGCTAACAGATTAGCCGAAATCTATCGTTTCCAGAGATTATATGAACACTTCATCCAAAAAAGAAATCAATTTATTTCTTCAGTTTCCGATGATCTTGAACCCTTTTTAAAAATCAATTCACCCCCAAGAAGGCGATGATACCACTAAGACAGATGGAGCAATTGGGAGTGAAAGTGAATAAAAATAAATGAACCGGAAACGCAATCCTAAATAGGTGATAAAGCAAACAGATGACAAAGCAAACAAGAGACACTCCTAGTCAACAGACACGGATGAGGGTGAACCAGACGATAGACCAACCTATCTACTCCTATCGAAAAAAATATATAGTAAATAAAATTTCAGAGTTCAGTCGAGTTGAAGTAAACTTTAGAAGGAACCGGAAACTCAATCCTAAACAGGATACAAGGGATGAACTACTAATCCTGTTCAAAAGACCGAGGAGCAGTTTGAAACAAATGATAGGTGAACATATCTATTCTTATTGAGAAAAAATAGTAAATAAATTCAGACGGAGATGTTAGAAGTAGACAGTTGATTTAGATTTTATATTTCTATCAAAAATAATTCTTCTTCAAAAATGCCTCGTCCCTTCAGGAAGTAGCTGATCATGACTCTTCCCAATTTCCTGTACTTTGTAACTCTTAAAAAATGTCTTTTTTATTATCTCTCTTAAACCTTGTCCCACCATCCATTTACTGAAGCTCTCTAAGTAGGTTATGCGCCATTTTCATCTATCCCTCTTGCCTTTAATCTGTTCTGTGAATATCAAGTATTAAAAGCCCGATTTCCTCATTATCTTCCCTAGAAATTTCAACTGTCTCTCCCTGGTGTTAAGTATAATTTTCCTTTTTGTTGCTTCTTCTCTCAAACATCGTTATTGATCTCAGTACCAGTCCATGAGTAGGATAATATTTTTGCTGTTTTTTTGTCCTCTTTTCCTAATAGTAGTTTTTCGCATATTCTCTATCACGCAGTAAACCCTTGTGTCCTAGAGGCTTTATTGTCTTGCTGGGGGTAAAATGAATAAAAATGAAGAGTTCTTACTTTACTTTGCTTGTGAGTATCGAATTCTCCAAACCCTCTTTCTTCATTATCTATCCAAGAAATTTCGCTTGTCGTTTCCGATCCTAAATATAAGCGTCGTTTTTGTTTTCAAATTCTTTAAAACTTCCCCGTTAATCACATGTTCAGTTAATGGCTTAAAGGCAGATGACGTCGTAATTTAATATTGGAATTACAGAATGCCCGCAAGGATTGATTTTGAGATTCTTCTTCTTCTTCTTCTTCTTCTTTATGTCATTCCCCTTCAAGACGTTAGCGATCATGGCTCTCCGCAATTTCCTGTAAATTTTACTTAGCTATCTCTGCTAAACTCTGTTTTGCCATTCATTTATATAAGCTCTTTGGGTAGGTTATTTTCTGTTGGCCTCCGTCCCTCTTGCTTTCAATCTGCCCTGTGAGTGTCAAATGTTCCAAGTCTTCTTTCTTCATTATGTGCTTTAGAAATCTCAATTGTCTCTTTTTCATGCTAACCATAAGTGTTTCGTCATTACTCACATATTTAGTTCATATTCTCAGCATCGTTCTGTTGAACTACATTTCTGTTGTTTCACGTTTCTTCTTCCCCTGTGAGGAGATTGTCCAGCATTCGTTGCCATAGGGGAGGAGTGATATTGCATAACAAGTCGATTGCTCTTTTCTTCGTTTCTAACTAAATTTTCGTGTTTCTTAATACGTTACTTAGCTTCTTTCTCTATCCCAATGTTTCTTCGTGTTTCGGTGTTTCACTTTCCGTCATCTCTTAAAAAACTACCCAGCAAAGCAATAAACTCAATAATTGGAATTCAAGAAAGTTATAAAGACAGCGTAAGTACGAAATATACTATCTATGTTCAGAAACTTGTTTTAGAAGTCGTTTATTGACATTTTGAGCTGTTGTATTTTTTAAATAGAGAACAAAATGCGCAGCATCCAAAATAGCCATTGCAATTTGCATTTTTGCTCTTAAATTGCCGTTTGCCAATTCCAGCCTTGTTCCTCGGAATGTTGCACACGTTTTCAATCGGTTGAAGGTCAGGCAAACAAGCTGGCAAATTCATCAAACGATTCTCTTTGAATCTAATTTAAATCAGATTCATTAGTTTTCGCATTATTAGCCGCTTTTAATTTTTCCTAATTAGCCAGATTACTGAAAGTCCAAGAAGCATTATGTGGTAATTAAAAATTATCGGATGTGCCAAAGTTTACAAAGACAATATGTTTCGATTACCTAATTGAAAACCAGCGTTGTAATGACAAGAATAAAGATACCAATGTGAAATTTAAGATCGATGCTCTGAAATTAGTTTTAGAAATCACATCATACCATGTACACCTTGTTGATACCTCAGCCTCTGAAGGCGGTTTCAACCATTTTTGTATTTGTCTGGCCAACTCAAAGTAGCATGGTAATCGTTAGTGTTAAGTACAGCCGAGAAATGGTAGCACTAGTCGTAGTACTTGACACATTAGCACTTGGGATACAAATTATCCATATATTTTAAAGCTTGAAATTCGCAATGTTCTTTATAATTTGAAATTCAGAAAATTTCATGCAACTATCTAGTGTATCTGGCTTACATCTGCGTTGAACGAGTAATTCAGATGTTTCCACGATTTAAAAAATGAATTGGGTGTATTTCATACTAGGATTTTTTGCAACACATTGGCGTATGTTGAAATACTTTCAGGATTTAATATTGTTGAAATTATCGCGAACAATTTTTGTCGAGATTTATAAACTCTACGTTTCATTCAATTTCGCAAACCAATCGATGACATTTGAAGAAGCTGATTTGTTTGGAAAAATACTTTGACAAAACCCTGCTCCACGGTTTAATAATTCCTTTAATTTAATTTAATTTTATAGGATTACATGGTAAACAATATTTTCTAAGAAAAAATTTTTTTTTTTAAATTTTTAACAGCGAAGTGTAAATTCTTCGGATTTCTTACACTTGAGCATGCAACATACAACTAGACATGCGTAAATATTTCTCTCTTGAGCCAAATTCCAACTTCTTGAAGCGTTTGGCCTTGTGATCTGTTTATAGTTCTTGCAAACGCAGGCCGAACTGGAAACTGGATTCTTGTATATATAAAAACCTAAACAAAAGATATGCAAAATACAATATTGCATTTTTATTAAATAAGTATTTGTTATTTTAACCATTAAGTTGTTTTTAAAATAATGGGAATATTTTGTATGTCAAATAATAAAACTTTAAATTAATGAAAATTTATAGCACTAAGCTACAGACTCTAGTAAAACCAATTGTACTTTGCACCTCCTCCCCATTACCTGTTTGTATTTCTCCCCAAAATTTGGTAACAATCGGTCAATGTATGGCTATTTTAGAGAATGAGGGGGGACTAACGAAAGTCACATAATTTTATATATAGATATATCAATAAATTAAGAATTGGCAATTAAAGTAAAACTATTTACATTATTGCTTTTTCCCCTCGTATTATTTGTGCTTGAGCTATTTCATATCTGTTTTTTAATTTCTCCCAGTTGTGAAAAGCATTGCGACTTCAAGTGAAAACCTTTCTTTATTTTTACTTTTACCTTTCATGAAGACTTATTAGTCCGTTTCCAATCCTAACGCTATTATTCATCTTTCTCAACAGAATTACCTTTTTCTATTTTTCACCACTTTTACTTCTTTTTAACGTAATGAACGTCCCGTCTCTTTTCAAATCATTTCTCTCAGGAAACCGTATTCCCTTCTTTACAAATATTTTTCACTTATTTCGTTCTCTCATGAAAACGTTCTTTTCAAATTCATTCTCCATTTTTACTTCTTTCATACATGAAAACGTGTTCGGCTGTATTCCAGTACTTTTTCTCCTATTATTTTTCCTCTCATGAAGATGTCTCTCCCTCTCTTCAAACACTTTCTCTATTTTTACCTCTTTCTTTCACGAAAAAATTTCCTCAATGCGAATGATTTTTATTTTTTACCTTTTTCTTCTTCCTCACATAACTCCGCCCCCGTTTTCAAATCCTTTCTCGATTTTAATTTCTTTTCTTCGTAAAATCTCTCTTACCCTTTGGCTGTTTTGTTTCCTACATCCTATTATTTCTCGTTAAATTCTTGCTTCGTTTTCTCTGTTTTCGCCGTTGCTTTCTTGCTTCCTTAACTTCCATTCCCTTTTTCTTTCTTTCTTTCTTTCTTTCTTTCTTTCTTTCTTTCTTTCTTTCTTTCTTTCTTTCTTAACTGCTGCTACGATCTTTACTTTCCTTTTAATTTTACAAACCTTTTCTTTTCTTTGTCCTCTATCGCCTTTCGCTTCTCGGACACTTGAAGCCATCTTTTCGAGTTTTATTGGCTTAATCTGATTCTCGGATTCTATTGGTAAAGTCAACATTAATTACGATTTTGTGTGCTTCTCTCGGTGCAATCACGACACACCTTGTTTGCCTGACACCCAGGGGTCTCGTCAGGTCCTTCTATGGGACATCAAAACCTCGGATCCAACTCAAGGGTTATCCCCTACAACCGTTCATGCCACGTCAATCGAATGACAATAGTATGTTTGTTGTTGTTGTTTATGGTGTGAAGTGGGTAGGGGTAGGAGGGCGATGCCGTGAAAGAAATGAAATAGAAAGAGTATAGGAATTAAAAAGACTGAGAAGGAAGAAGGCCCTAATAACAATAATAATAATAATTGGAAGTGTCTAATAGTAGTAGTAGCAATAATAATAATAATAATAATAATAATAATAATAATAATAATAAGAAGAAGAAGAAGAAGAAGAAGAAGAAGAAGAAGAAGAAGAAGAATCTGGTGGGATATGAGGAAGAGAATACAGATGATAAAATATATTTCTAAGACGTATAAGAAAGACATAGCGAAAAGACAAAGAGCGTAAAAAGGAAAAGAAAAGAAAGAAACAGAGTGGGGAAAAGAAGAAATTCTGTTTGAACTGTTGAGCTTTTCTTGCTTTCTTCAAAACCACTGCGCTGAAGTAAACGGAGTCATTGAAAATCAGTGGCGTCGACGGAAGTCGTTATGGCGGGTAGCATTACATTCTCAGATGGAAACTGCCGGCCTTTTTCCGTATTGAAAAACATCACAGCCAGTGGTGATTTGTAAACGCCTACGACTTGCAAAACGTGAAAGACTTTCAAAGTTACAATTAATGATTAGCATAAAAAAAAAAATGTTCGATTTAAATCTAAAAAAAAACAAACCCAAAAACCAAAGAAAACAAACCAAAAAACAAAAATGTCAAAGTAGTTTTTTCTTTTTTAATGTGCACCTCAGTTTTAAAATACACCAACGATTTTCCGGAATATATTCAGGAGTTCTATCGGGTGATTCATTTTTGCCGGACCAGCGGACATCACGTAATAAAACTTCAATAATCAAACGTCTAACCAATTAATTCTTCTCATATGACATATTTAAAGTATTAGAATTGTTCTTCTTTATGTGCCGTGTTCCCTCAGGACATAGGTGATCATGTCTCTCCACAACGTTCTATCCCTTGTAGATCTCAATAAATTTCTCTTTCTGTTATTTCTTTTATTGTTTCAAAACTTAAAAACATATTTCTCATCTTATTTGATAAATTTTTCAGGAGGTTTTTCAGAATCGCTGTGAGAAAATACAAGTACCTTTCCGTAGTACAGGAAAATTGGAGCTTGAAAATCATAATTGCATTTTTTGCTATTGACTCGCTTTGACCAGTTCCATGAAGCGTGACAGAAAGATAGGGCTACTTGGAAATCTGAGGAATAAGTGAAACCATTCAAATAGCAGCATTAGTAAAATAACAAAGAATGCTGCGGTGAGTGGTAGAATAATGAGAAATTTGGATATTATTTAAGCTCTGATCCGGTTTGAAAACTCAGTGATTATAAAATAGTTAAAGGAGTTTCACTCGGACAGTAAACAATCGAGATAAAAATTGTGCAAATGACTTTGGTTAGACCATGTTAACTAATGGTAGAATCATAAACCGATAGTTGTGAAAGAAAATAAAGGGAATAAAATACTCTGGGATTTTAAGATCCAGAGAAACCATACTAGCTTTTAGAATGAAAAACGAAAGTTTACGAGATTTAATGGATCACAACGGACTGGAAAAAGTATGCCTTTTCTTCATGTGCCATGTCCTTTCAGGACGTAGGCGATCATGGCTCTCCACCTCCTTCTATGCCTTGTAGCTCTTAACAAGTTCCTTCCTTCTTCTATCTACCCCAGACCACGTTCTTTCATCCACTTGATCAAGCCCGCTAGGTATGTCATACGTTGTTTTCCTTTGTCTCTCTTTCCCTCTATTCGATCCGTGAGTATAAGATTCATCAGGAACTCCTTGCTCATTATGTGTCCCATAAACTTCAGCTGCCACTTCCTGATGTTAAGTATAAGCCTCCTCTTGTTTGCATCCTCTCTAAGACTTCATCGTTGCTCACACGGTCCGTCCATGGTATCCTTAGCATCCTTCTGTAAAACCACATCTCCGTCGCCTTGAGTCTCTTCATCTTTGAGGAAATCATCCAACATTCACTGCCGTAAAGAAGGATATATGTTATGTAACAGGTCAGTATTCTTTTCTTTTTTGTTACCAAAGAAATCATCCCGTCTCGCAATACTCTGCCCAGCTTTTGGTATGCGTCTTAGTAATCCGAATACGTCTACGGATCTCAGTGTCGCACTTACTGTTCTCTGTCAAGACGCTTCCCAGATATTTAAACTTCCGCATCTGCTTGATTCTAGTGTTCCCGACAAGCATATCGCATTTCGGGCTCATCCTCTTACTGATGACCATGCGTTCTGTCTTCTTGTAGTTTATACTAAGTCCATTCTTCTCAATCTCCGTCGCTACTTTCTGTAGTAGATTTTATAATATCTTTTCCGTGTCTGCTATCAGTACTCTGTTATCTGTGGATCTTATGCTGTTAGGATTGTGTCCCGGTTGGGTTTCCAATTCTCTAAGAATTGCTTAGCTGTATTGGTTGAACAGTTGTTACATAATTCAACTAGTAGTCATATAAACCAGTGGTTCCCAACCTTTTTAGTTCATAAACCACTTTGAACCCAGAATTTTTCTGTAGGCCATGAAATTGTTATAGTGTAAAAAATTACTTCCATATTGTGGCCCATAAGCAGTGGCGTATATATTAATAAGCCTGGTGGCCCAGTATAAGTTCTCTGGCCTACTTAAATTTTGCCATGGCCCATTTTGATCATGTTGCCATAGGTTGGGAAACACTGATATAAACCATTACATTATATATTATTTAAAAAATATCTTCACTTACAAGGATTGCATCTTGTGTAAAATATTCAATAACGTAACATGTCTGAAGGTGGTCATGGATGGCGTGTTCAATGGGACCATCACGCATATCCAGTAATGACACGTGATTAAATAAGGGCACGAAACATTGCTGGTCACACGAGTAATTACACGTCATAGGATCAAGTGATCATTTATTTATATATATATATATATATATATATATATATATATATATATATATATATATATATATATGCTAAGATATCATGGACTGAGCAGATATACCAGATGTTAAACCTTGTCAGCTGCAGCAGCTCCCTTTCATCTTTTGGATTGCGCTCCTTTACTAGCCTCACGTGACTTAGACTATATATGTAGCTTATTATTTAAATCCCCAACGGATTAAGTTCAACTTTTTCGTAATTATTCTTACAAACACCATTCCTTGAATTCGCCCTTTCTTGACACTAAATGTTCCGGATAGAATAAAAATTTCCATCTCGTTTTGTTTCAATGTTTTGTTTATCTATTTTCACAACTAATTCAACACTTTTAGATTTTTGCGCGTCAACCCTCTCAACTTCAAATGACGACCCCCTAACCTGATAACAAATAAGATTGCTCCATCTTTGTAGAGAAAGAGACGAGACTGTTAATTGCAAGTGAAAGCAAAGTGAATATAAAAACAAACATAATTGTGTTGGAAGAGCGACACACGATGAATTGTAAAATATGTTCAGTCTTACAGCTGAATAGATTTTCTATAAATCATTTCACTCGGAAAATTAGACCTTATTGTACAGAACAAAGAAAATGATTTTGCAAAATGTAGACGTTAAAATGATCGTATTGAAAATAGCTAAATCTTGCTAGAGAATTGAAAAAGTCATGCAACATGAATAAAGAGATGAACTAAAATTCTTTACATTAATAATCTGAGAGATCCATGGCTGATGCTAACCTCTAGGAAAGTGATTCACTGTGCCTTCTCTGACTTATGTTCTCATTCTTGAAGTGGAAAAATTATATTGAATCCATTTCTAAGTCAGGTGTTAAGAAGGTTGGTTCACTGTGTCGCGTGAGACGATTTTTCTTTCCAGAATCTATCTCACATATCTATAAGTCTACCATTCGTCCATACTTAGAATACTATTGCCACATATGGTCCGGTGCCCCTGCTATTTATCTTGAGCTTGTTAATGAAATTCAAAGAAGAATCAGCAATATAATTGGTCCTGATCTGGCGTATCGGCTTTAGTCACTTTTTTTTTTATCGCCGTAAGGCTGCCTCTCTGTATCTTTTCTATAAATACTTTCATAGTAATTGTTCGGATGAGCTCTTCGCTAAGGTACCTAGATGTTTGAATTTTAAGCGCAGTACTAGATTGGCGTCGAGATCTCATCAATGAGCTGGCCATATATAACCGTAAATGCTATGCTAAGAGTTTCTCTTCTCGCACATCTTGCTTGTGGAACTCCATTCTAGGTCCACGCTTTTACCGCCAAGTTTAATCTTCAAAAATTTATATTCAATATCAATCGCAATCTTATGATTGCACTTTTAAAAAAATTTCCGCTCATTATTAATGTTTCAGTACCTAATTCTTCCAATCCATTTTGTCTTAGTGAATTTATTGTCTAGCATCGGCTGATACCGATTTTTAAAAAATCGATAAAGGCGAGATTTTGAAGAATTAGTCTGAGTGGAACTTGCTTTTTATCAAAGAAACATGAATGGAAGAGTGCATTGTCCTGGCGGGTCCTATTTGTGAAGCCCCGAGTT